CAGCATGGATTTCTGAAAAATAAGTCATGTCAGACTAACCTGATCTCGTTTTTTGACAGAATTACAAGCCTGGTAGATGAAGGGAACGCAGTGGATGTAGCCTACCTTGATTTCAGCAAGGCATTTGACAAGGTGCCCCATGATATTCTTGTAAAGAAGCTGGTAAAATGCGGTCTTGACTATGCTACCACTCAGTGGATTTGTAACTGGCTGACTGACCGAACCCAAAGGGTGCTCATCAATGGTTCCTCTTCATCCTGGAGAAGAGTGACTAGTGGGGTGCCACAGGGTTCTGTCTTGGGCCCGGTCTTATTCAACATCTTTATCAACGACTTGGATGATGGACTCAAGGGCATCCTGATCAAATTTGCAGATGACACCAAATTGGGAGGGGTGGCTAACACCCCAGAGGACAGGATCACACTTCAAAACGACCTTGACAGATTAGAGAACTGGGCCAAAACAAACAAGATGAACTTTAACAGGAGAAATGTAAAGTATTGCACTTGGGCAAAAAAATGAGAGGCACAAATACAAGATGGGGACACCTGGCTTGAGAGTAGTACATGTGAAAAGGATCTAGGAGTCTTGGTTGACCACAAACTTGACATGAGCCAACAGTGTGACGCGGCAGCTAAAAAAGCCAATGCAATTTTGGGCTGCATCAACAGGAGTATAGCATCTAGATCAAGGGAAGTAATAGTGCCACTGTATTCTGCTCTGGTCAGACCTCACCTGGAGTTCTGTGTCCAGTTCTGGGCACCACAGTTCAAGAAGGACACTGACAAACTGGAACGTGTCCAGAGGAGGGCAACCAAAATGGTCCAAGGCCTGGAAACGATGCCTTATGAGGAACGGCTAAGGGAGCTGGGCATGTTTAGCCTGGAGAAGAGGAGGTTAAGGGGTGATATGATAGCCATGTTCAAATATAAAAGGATGTCACATAGAGGAGGGAGAAAGGTTGTTTTCTGCTGCTCCAGAGAAGCGGACACGGAGCAACGGATCCAAACTACAAGAAAGAAGATTCCACCTAAACATTAGGAAGAACTTCCTGACCATTAGGAAGAACTTCCTGACCATAAAGAAGGCTGATCGCCGAAGAATTGATGCTTTTGATTTATGGTGCTGGAGGAGACTCTTGAGAGTCCCATGGACTGCAAGAAGATCAAACCTAACATTTTCTGAAGGAAATCAGCCCTGAGTGCTCCCTGGAAGGACAGATCCTGAAGCTGACGCTCCAATACGTTGGCCACCTTGTGAGAAGAGAAGACTCCCTGGAAAAGACCCTGATGTTGGGAAAGACTGAGGGTACAAGGAGAAGGGGGCGAGATGGTTGGACAGTGGTTGGACAGTGTTCTTGAAGCTACCAGCATGAGTTTGACCAAACTGCGGGAGGCATTGGAAGGCAGGAGTGCCTGGCATGCTCTGGTCCATGGGGTCACGAAGAGTCAGACATGAGTAAACGACTAAACAACAACAACAGCCCAACACCCTGTGGCCAAGTTGAATTATGTTCTTCAGGACTTGATTTAAGGCCCTGCCCATAGATGGCAATCTGTAAACATCCCATGAGGAAGCCACTACTAATAGACCATGACATTCAGGATAAGGTCTCAGAGATAAGGTGTTCTTTCCAATGTCTGCATATATCTGAGTTTGTGTGTGTGGTTGTGTATTCAAGCATGTTGTTCCTGATCAGTTGAAGGCATTTTGGGAGGAAGCCCATTTACTAGATTTTTATCCATTTGGACTAAAACCCATTTGGCCTAAAGAGTTTCAGAAGGAGGCTGCAAGGGCTGGTGCTCCGGGGCCCCCAGGTGAGGTACACCTGTCCACACAGTCTGAGGGGCTACTAGCCCCCCTCCCTCACAGGACCACAACCAAACAGGTGGGCAAGCAGGGGACAAAAGCAGAGTTCACCTGCCAGGTTACTCACTCAGTAAGAGCAGCTCGAAAGGGAAGCACTTGATGAGGTGGACAAATGGGAGCATATATTATGACCTGCCACCATTCCTTCAGGAATTGCAGGGAAGAAAACATGCCTGCCCCTGTGTACCATCTTGGGGTAGAATAGTGGGGAATGGCTGTAAATCTGAAATGGGTTTTAACGCAGGCTGCACTTCAGTGGTAGAGTACAATGTTTGTATGAGGGAAAGGTCCTAAGTTCACCCTCTGTGTCTGCAGGTAGGGGTCAGATGAGACTTCTGTTTGAAAATCTGGAGATACTAGTCCAGGTAAGGCAATACTTGTAAGAAATGATAAAGTCGCCTTTTCACACAAGGTTCCAGCTGCTGAAAACCTCAGGCATAATGTTGCTTTCATTCACATAAAGATACAGGTAAAGGTAAAAGGTAAGGGACCCCTGGAGGGTTAAGTCAGGTCAAAGGCGACTATGGGGTTGCGGCGCTCATCTCGCTTTCCGGCCGAGGGAGCTGGCATTTGTCCACAGACAGGTTTCCAGTGTAAGATTTTGACCAACTTCGGCCCATCTGAAGCTGATACAGGCTCGTCTCATCTTGAGCCCAAACAGAGTAGTCCACACAGCAGAAGGATAAGCAGTATGTGCCACATTCTTAACTTTATTTCCACTCTATGCTGAGAGAATACAAACATGCATCTTGCCTCTGTGAGAGCAGAGAAGCAACCCTCTCGGAAACAAAGAACACCAAGAGAAAAAGTGAAAAACAGGAAACCCGTGTACGTCACATCCAGTCTCCCATTCCCGTGGGAATCCAACAGTAACTCTGACTGTGGAATGCAAAACAATGTCTTGTGACTGCAGTTGCTGCTCAGTGAGGGAAATAGAAACCAACATCCTCCCCCTTTCTGTGAACATCACTGGGCAGCGTTTTCGTACAATATAAGTACAAATCCAACTTCTGCACATAGGTACAGTGTTGATTCCTTGATACAACCTTGGACAATACATCAGCAGGAATTTCATTACCTGGCATATAGGACACCGTTACGAGTCCCTTCTGAACACGTTCCCTAGCATGTTGCAACTTTAATTGCAAATGCATTGTGCTTTGCTTACAACCTTCGGAATTCAGCAAAGCCAAACATGCTTTGTTGTCCCGGTAAACCTGGATTGGACATTTGACTTTCTTGTGTCTTGTGCAGAACTTCCTCAAGTCAGCCTTTCCTCATCCGGTTTCATAAGGGAAGCCTGCAGGATCAGGCCATTGGCCCTCCTAGTCTAGCATTCTGTCCTCGCAGTGGTCAGCTAGGTGCCCATGGGAAGTCTGCAAGCTGGACATGAGCTCAACAGAACTCTGCTTCCCTACGATTCCCAGCTACTGGTATTCAGAGGCACATCACAACCATCCTGTTGGGTGCCCCACTGTTGCTGAAAGACCTACACTGGCTCCCAGTATGTTTCCAAGCACAATTCAAAGTGTTGGTGCTGACCTTTAAAGCCCTAAATGGCCTCAGCCCAGTATGCCTGAAGGAGCGTCTCCACCCCCCTCGTTCTGCCCGGACACTGAGGTCCAACTTGAGGGTCTTCTGGCAGTTCCCTCCCTGCAAGAAGTGAAAGTACAGGGAACCAGGCAGAGGGCCTTCTCGGTAGTTGTGCCTGCCCTGTGGAACACCCTTCCATCAGATGTCAAGGAAATAAAGAAGTATCTGACTTTTAGAAGACATCTGAAGGCAGCTTTGTTTAGGGATGTTTTTAATGTTTAATGTTTTATTGTGTTTTTAATATTCTGTTGGGAGCTGCCCAGAGTGACTGGGGAAACCTAGCTGGATGGGTGGGGTATAAATAAAATAATAATAATAATAATAGGAATGACTTCCCCTCCACTCAATTTCACATATATACTGATGGGAATATGCTCCCTGCTTGTAATCCAGATAGAGACTTTGGAGTGGTTCTGGAGAACTCAACCCAGTTTTCAATAACTTTGAAAAATGGTAAAGTCGATGATGGGGGAAAGGGGTTGAAAATATAATGTCAGAACAGTCACAGAACACTCCTAGAAAAAGATCTAGGAGTCTTGGTTGACCACAAACTTGACATGAGCCAACAGTGTGATGCGGCAGCTAAAAAAGCCAATGCAATTCTGGGCTGCATCAATAGGAGTATAGTATCTAGATCAAGGGAAGTAATAGTGCCACTGTATTCTGCTCTGGTCAGACCTCACCTGGAGTACTGTGTCCAGTTCTGGGCACCAGAGTTCAAGAAGGACACTGACAAACTGGAACGTGTCCAGAGGAGGACAACCAAAATGGTCAAAGGCCTGGAAACGATGCCTTATGAGGAACGGCTAAGGGAGTTGGGCATGTTTAGCCTGGAGAAGAGGAGGTTAAGGGGTGATATGATAGCCATGTTCAAATATATAAAAGGATGTCACATAGAGGAGGGAGAAAGGTTGTTTTCTGCTGCTCCAGAAAAGCGGACACGGAGCAATGGATCCATACTACAAGAAAGAAGATTCCACCTAAACATTAGGAAGAACTTCCTGACAGTAAGAGCTGTTCAACAGTGGAATTTGCTGCCAAGGAGTGTGGTGGAGTCTCCTTCTTTGGAGGTCTTTAAGCAGAGGCTTGACAACCATATGTCAGGAGTGCTCTGATGGTGTTTCCTGCTTGGCAGGGGGTTGGACTCGATGGCCCTTGTGGTCTCTTCCAACTCTATGATTCTATGATTCACTTCAAATGCCTTTTTACTTTATTTTAATTTAGTTTAAAGATATTTATGTTTATGTGTTTTTTTTTAATAAATCAGAAGAAATGGTACAATGTACAGACTTCTGGGTCTGCACTGCAAGGCAGGTAAAAAGAAGGGCAAACCCTGTGCCTTTTTAAATTGGGTGAGCAGGACAGCAGATGTGTTTTCTGCCTGAAAAGTGAACAGGACATCTGTGTGGAAGAGTTTCTCCAAGGCGCTTTGAAATAAAGTCGCTTATTCAGCTGTGGGAACGCACAGAGACACAGAGACACAAAGAACATAGGTGCTCAAATGCATGATTTTTAATTAGCAGAAGAAGGAAAACAATCACCAGAGATTCAGCTCCATTAAAAGCGCAAAAGCGTAGCGAAGAGGGTTGCAGAGGCCATGGAAATGTTCAGGCTATGGATGTAACGCAGCCAACATCCTGACGTTATCTGTGCGAGAGAGAGAACATTGTCAGAGTCTGCAGTTTTTAATGCTGTATTACATAGATAATCATGAATAAAAAGCTGAACACATTCAGATGCAAAACACAAACACAGATTTTAATATAAAGAAAAAAGAGGAGAAATACATTGGTATGGGGCTTGTCCTTTAAATCATGCTGTGGCTCGCCAGATGTTGTGGGAGCCCACCTCCCATTGGCCCCAACAGCCAGTATGGCAAGGGATCAGGGGTGAGGGAGATCTGTAGGCTGGCAACATCTGGAGAAACAGATTGGCCTTTCCTGACTTGAATAGGTTCTGAGCATGATAATTTGTTGTTTGTCCCTTAAAAATACTGACTTAACTTTGATGGGTGGTATATTGGATTGGATGTAGTGAATACATATATTTTAATAGTGGACAGATGAAAAATCAGAAGTTCCTTCTTTTCCGAATCTTATTTTTTTCTACCTTTCTCTTTTAACCTCTTTTCTCCTCTGTTTCTTTCTTTGTCTCTCCTTCCCCCTTTTTGTGTTTTTACTGTATTTAGATAGTCTTGGTGTGGTTAAAAAAAGGGAAAAGGATATTAAGTTTTGTAATTTTCTCTGTGAATCTTAATAAAATTTATTAGAGAAAAATACAGAGTAACTTGAAATACACCAGTGATTTGAACCCAACTCTCCTCCTAACATAATACATGATGCCAATATTAGAAGGCCAATTGATTTTTTAAAGCTTCCCTATGGCTCTGCTCTTGTCAAGCTTAGTAACACCAAAGCAATTCATTCTGATTGTTTTATTTCCACTATTCTTCACGTAACCTAGGTTTTGTGTTGTTTTTTTTGCAGAAAAACCCTCGATGCTAGCATGTGATTCCTAAGGAAAGTATCAGCAACTGCAAATTCTGAGCCACAGCAGAACTTGGTAGAAAAACTAGAACAAAACTGGGGTTTGGAGATGTGAACTGTCTCCTGGAAAAGTCCCCAAAGCACCCCAGTTCCTATATTAACTATGTCACAATGATCTAGACCATTTTGTCTTCCTCTTCTGTTACAGATCATAACTAGAAGACCAGTCTTCAGGTAGCCCGGATTTCTTTCAAAAAAAGCTGGATGTTAGCATGTATTTCCTAAGGAAAGCATCAGCAACTGCAAATGCTAAGCCATAGCAGGGCCTGGAAGAAATACTGGGGCAGAATTGGGGTTTGGAGGGGAAACTATCCCTTGGAAAAGCCTTGAAAGCACCTCTATTTCTATATTAACTATTTCACAATGATTTGGACCATTATGCTTTCCTGCATATCATAAACAGAAGAACAGGAGAGGAAGAGAGTTGCCCAGGTGACAGACTCAGCCTCTGTGGTACAGCTCAGCATTTTAGAAAGCATCAGCAGCACACAGTGGGCCAAGTTCATAGGCTCTTCCAGCATGGATGGAATTGAGGTGGGAACCTAACAGCCTATGAAGAAGCATGTAGAAGTTCTGGGTGAGTCATTTCTTGGCCCCAGCAACTTCTACAGATCAGGCACGTGTAACAGACACAAGAACATGCCAAGCTATTTTTTCACTCTGGCCAGCAGTATTCCTACTTATTGTGTTCTGTATACAAATATGCTATTCTTATTCTCCTGCCAGATACATTAATAGGTCTTAAAAGCCAGCCTGGGTTTTGATTTGCACCGGGACCTCTCCAAACTGGCTTAGATAAAAAGAACCAATGGACAAAACAATCCTGACAGCAGGGCAGGAGAATTCTTACCTATCTTCTGCAGCACCATCTTTTTGGGTTACCACAATGTCCCTTGTGATGTTTGCCTGGTGGGCAAAAGCCATTATGGCAGCTGCCACCCATCCTGCGACATGCTGCCTCTGATGTCTGCGCAAGTGCTGTAGCAAAAGAAAGAACAAGTTGTGTTCTCATTGTCATTCCTGCTAATAGAAGACTCAGCTGGTGGGTGGCAATAGGACTGTAGCCAAATTACCGTATTTTTTGCTCTATAAGACTCACTTTTTCCCTCCCAAAAAGTAAGGGGAAATGTGTGTGTGTCTTATGGAGCGAATACAGGCTGCACAGCTATCCCAGAAGCCAGAACAGCAAGAGGGATCGCTGCGCAGTGGTCCCTCTTGCTGTTCTGGCTTCTGAGATTCAGAATATTATTTTTTCTTGTTTCCCTCCTCCAAAAACTAGGTGCGGCCTATGGTCTGGTGCGTCTTATAGAGCGAAAAATGCGGTAATAGAAGGGGCTGTGGCTGGAGCACTGGACAGGGGCACCTTCCCCTATTGAGAACCACCCAAATAGCAAGAGAATGATTTCCGGGACTTCTTGGGCAGCCTCACATAGAGTACATTCCATTAACTCAGCTTTGAGGTTACCAATGCATGGAATATAATGGTTTGGCTTTCCGTGTCCAGGAATACCATAGCTAACAAACCAGATGAAATTGGTAAAATACACACCTGGGCACAGGGTTTATTTGGGGCTCTATTGACAAAGTTGCATCCAGGAACATCCCAAACTACACAATTTTTCCTCCACAGGGACTGCACCATCCTGAACAGTTAACCTTTCTTTCTCCTGGACATAGGATCACCCACCCAAATAAGGTCCCATCTTTGCAGCATTCAAACAAAGTTTATTGCCCCCCCCATCTAATCCACCACTGAAAATTAGGTAAGCAAAAGGAAGAGGAATAATAATAATATTTGTTTGTTTGCCGCCCCTCTGACTGGGTTGCCCCAGCCACACTGGGCAGCTTTCAACAAATTAAAATGCAGTAAGACATCAAATCTTGCTTAGCAGCCTGGTTCCAATAGAGCAAGAACTACATCTCCAATCACACATGGTCAGTGGTCATGGTGACTGGGCTTCAAGGGAATTGGAGCCTCAAAACATCCAAGGACCCATTGGTTGTCCACCATGCTACAGAACATGATAGCAAGCAGTTGCATATTTTCCCGAGGTCCCCGTGTAGGGATCCACTATAGAACTGCTTTGAGCTTTACTACAGTCAAGTGGCATATAAATTTTTATGAAATAAATAAGTAACCTTACCTGGAGCAGCCATCAGTACAAAGAAGAGAACAGCTGCAAGGAAGGCAAAGATCTTCATGACTGAAAGATTGGATGGTGTTTTAAGAGATGGTGGGATGGAGAGATGCTCGAAAGGTCCTTGTATTTATATGACAAAAAGGAGCATGTCACACCATGGGTTGGACATCTTGTGGGTGCTGTGCAATATTTTGCTGCAGTTGCATATTAGCACAATTAAGCAAAGATCTCCCTAGATAAGTTGGGAAAGGATTCATAAGGAAGTTACAGCCTGAAGACAACAGCCTGTTGTCTAGACATTACTTGTAATTCCGGAATTGATGTTAATCAAAGATGCTAATTCCTAGTTTTATGTTTCTTTTCCAAGTCTTCCTCACCTTCTTCCACCCTAGAATGCTTAAAAATTGGCAAGCTAAAATTAATAAATTTCAAGGGAAGTCCCAAAGAATCTCAATAGAGTTAAATCCTTAGCTAAAGACAATTATGCAAACCTGGGGGGGGGGGGGGAGTTATGGCAGTAACGACTGGCTCTGGGCTGCTTATCACTCAGCTCAATACAGTTTCATGAGAAAATACAAGATACTCCTGTATCTATTACCACTTCATGGAATTTTGAAAAAAATAATAAACCTGTGCCGCTAGAGCAATTGTTGATAGATGTGGGGAATATATCCCTAAGTTGTGATCTTACACATCACTTGGGAAGACAGGTGAACTAACACCAGTGTACTGGATGAAGCAAAGACCACCAGTGTTGAAGCAATGATTCTTCATCATCAACTTTGTTGGACTGGTCATGTTGTGCGGATGCCTGATGATCGTCTTCCAAAGCAACTACTCAATTCCGAACTTAAAAATGGAAAGCTGGTGGTCAACAAAAGAGGTTTAAAGACTCTCTCAAGGCAAATTAAAAAAAAAAAGTAGTATAAACACTGACAACTGGGAAACACTGGCCTGCGAGCGCTCCAGCTGGAGAACAGCCTTTACCAAAGGTGTCATGGGCTTTGAAGACACTCGAAATCAGGATGCAAGGGAGAAATGTGCTAAGAGGAAGGCACGCTTGGCAAATCCACACCGTGATCAGCTCCTGCCCGGGAACCAATGTCCCCACTGTGGAAGGATGTGTGGGTCCAGAATTGGCCTCCACAGTCACTTACAGACTCATTGCTAAAACTGTGTTTATGGAAGACAATCTTACTCAGCTACAAGTGATAGCCATAGAAGAAGAAGAAGATCCCCCAGTTGGTTCCAAAAAAATACAATATATATGCCTGTTAGAAGATTTAGTTATGAAAGCATGGGCAACTAGAGACCACTAATGAAAGCAAAACAAATTATGCTGAACAAGGGAAGTAGGGGCTCACATGCAATAACCCTGATACCATCATGAGAACAAATCATTGTGAATGCCCAATAAAAAGGATACCTGGAGGACCTTTGCTTCACTGAGCATTCATTCTGATTTGTGAACACAGGGTTCATGGAACAATGCACACTGACATCCTGCATTCATCCTGATTTTATTGAGAGGTCTTCACATACAGGGCCGGATTTAGGTTTGATGAGACCCTAAGCTACTGAAGGTAATGGGGCCCTTGATATGTCCAGCTGTCCTTTGTCAACAACAAATTGTCACTGTTTCTTGTGTTGAATAGATGCTGTATGGTAATTTATGGACCTAATAGGTGTCGCGGGTGGCGCTGTGGTCTAAGCCACAGAACCTAGGGCTTGCTGATCAGAAGGTCGGCGGTTCAAATCCCCGCAATGGGGTGAACTCCCCTTGCTTGGTCCCTGCTCCTGCCCACCTAGCAGTTCGAAAGCATGTCAAAGTGCAAGTAGATAAATAGGTACTGCTCCGGCGGGAAGGTAAACGGCGTTTCCGTGTGCTGCTCTGGTTCGCCAGAAGTGGCTTAGTCATGCTGGCCACATGACCTAGAAGCTGTATGCCAGCTCCCTCGGCCAGTAAAGCGAGATGAGCGCCGCAACCCCAGTGTCGTCTGCGACTGGACCTAATGGTCAGGGGTCCCTTTACCTTTAATAGGTGTCTAAAGCCATTTGCACCTAACAAAATATGTATTTTATAAAAATAATTGTTGAATTGAAATACAATTAAGAAGAAATGGTTTTTTATATTATATTATATTTTTGAAATGTACATCCAGTTTTTTCCCCTTTAAATTTTTTTGGGGCCCCCAAGATAGTGGGGCCATAAGCTATAGCTTGTTTAGCTTATACGTAAATCTGGCCCTGTTCATATATCTTCCATTTTAGGCATTCATTGATACCACATTTTAAAATGCATTTCCCAATCAATGACAATCTTTGGAGGTGTCCCAAGAACCTCATTTTCTAATCTTACAGTTAATCACATTTCAACACTGGCTTGCAAATTACTTTTTATATAAAAAAAAGTTCTCATGAAAATTCCTCAACCTTTTCATGAATATTTTTTTTTTACAGATTTGCATACAATCTGGAATAATAAACTTCCCAATTTGTCTGTTGCTTGGTCTAAACATGGCACATGACAGGGGCATTTTCTGCTTTCATTTGTCATGCCTGTACCTAGTATAGGTTCAACAGAGAATGCATCTTCTGCATAGAAACGAGGTCTGTGGACCTTTCCAGGACAGTTCTGATCCAATAGGAAACTATTGATGCAATGTTTCAGTGGTGGCATTACTTGGTTTGAATCTCCTTTGGGTGAGTTGACACTGGCATTTTTGTAAAATTGCTTTATTTACAAACATTCAAGTAGCACATAAATTGCTTTTAATTTTTTGATTTTTTTACACATTTGCAGACAGCATGGAAGTCGAGGCAAGCTGCAGGCAAACAGATTCACTACCACACATTGGACGAAAACAACCATTTCTTCAGCTGGGGTACAAATCTTTTTTGGTCAGGATTTTGATGCAAACCTACCTGATCCCCACTTTCAGAAACATGCGTATATATAGTATTGGTGAAAATGGCATATAAACGTGCATTATTATAGGATATATTGCTTGTAGAAATGTTTGTGTCAGCAAAATTGCACACAGAGCGGTGTAGAGAAATTTGCATTAAAATATAGGTGAATCTTCATGAGGACATTTTCCATTTTAAAAAGAAGCTACAAACGGATTCAGAAATGTGGTGAGCAGAAACTTAAAACTGGAAAAAAAAATAAGAAACTGAGAGAAATGAAATTGAGAGATTCATCCATCCTTCACCTTCCCTAAGGCACCCTTCCCCAGTGTGATAACTGCCAGATCAACCCTGGTCAGTATTGCCAATGGTCAAGGATGAGAGCAGTTGCAATCCAAGATATCTGGAAGAAACCAGTTTGGGGGAGATTCTCATAAGCGATGGGGTCATAATTGCAAGGCCTTTCCTTCGACGGGCAATAGATTCCACCCACTCGCTATGTACTGATCAAACATGACAGGAAGCCGTTGATCAATCGTAGGTGTGCCCAATTCTCATTACAGATTTGCATCCCTGCACATATCTCACTCTTCCTTCCCAGAAGCAATGTGAAGCAGTGTTTTGAAACAAGCCAAATTGGCCGTTTTGCTTAAATAATTGTCAACAACAGCACTGGAGACAGAAGTATGTCACACGGGTTTACAGACAGAGCTCCGGGGAAACATTGGCTCCCAGTACATTTCCGAGCACAATTCAAAGTGTTGACGTTTGAAGCCCTAAACGGCCTCGGTCCTGTATACCTGAAGGAGCATATCCACCCCCCATCGTCCGACCCGGACACTGACATCCAGCTCCAAGGGCCTTCTGGCGGTTCCCTCACTGTGAGAAGTGAAGCTACAGGGAACCAGGCAGAGGGCCTTCTCAGTAGTGGTGCCCACCCTGTTGAATGCCCTCCCATCAGATGTCAAGGAAATAAACAAAAATCTGACTTTTAGAAGACATCTGAATGCAGCCTTGTTTATGGAAGTTTTTATTGTTCGAAGTTTTATCATATTATTATTATTATTATTATTATTAAAATTATTAAACTAACCTGGTAACTTTGCAACTTTGTTTGCAGACCTACACACAGACGCCTTTCAAAGAAGTTTTGAGGCAGAGGATTCCAAGTTCAACCACTGCCTTCTCTCATTACCAATACAGTGTGCTTGTGTTGTGGAGGTCATCACTAGAGACCAGACAGTTCCTGCTGATCTTTGGTTAACTGGACCTGTGTCCCAATCTTCCATTATTGCACTATACTTCTTTCTAGCCTTCTGGTGTCACAAATGGCCATTCCTAAATATATGTTCAGGAATGCACCTCCCTTCAGCCGTCTTTCAATTCCTGCCCTGTGAGAGGGATCCTCAGAGAGTGAGGAAAGAGAGTAAGACCTCGAAGTTTGCTCTCACTGGACTTCCCCTAGTCAGGGCCACCTGCCACCATTTGTGTTGCAAAAAGAATAAATGGAAAGAGAAGGAGACAGGCAAAGATCAGTGAAAAGCTTGTTGGAGCTGGAGACTCTGCCATGCAGCTACTGACCACCACTAGGAAGGATGCTAATGAATACTTTAATATTATGATTGTGATTCTATTAAAGTATCTTTATTCCTTGCAAGCCACCCTGGAAGGATTTGTATCCTGACATCATCATCATCATCATTTATTTATTTATACCCCACCTATCTGGCTGGGTTTCCCCAGACACTCTGGGCAGCTCTCAACAGAATATTAAAAACACGATAAAACATCAAACATTAAAAACTTCCCTAAACAGGGCTGCCTTCAAATGTCTTCTAAAAGTCAGATAGTTGTTTATTTCCTTGACATATTATGGGGGGCGGCGCGTTCCACAGAGCAGGTGCCACTGCCGAGAAGGCCCTCTGCCTGATTCCCTGTAACCTCACTTCTTGTAGTGAGGGAACCGTCAGAAGGCCCTCGGAAGCTAAACGATGGGGGTGCAGACGCTCCTTCAGGTATACTGGGCTGAGGCTGTAGACCTGACAGGAGGGACATAAGCCATTGTAATATATAAATTCTTTGCACATCTCCATTCTGGAGACAGCAAAGCCACTTCCGAGCTGGAGAGGAGGTGGGGTTGCGGGCCCACCCCCTCCCCACGCAGGCATTGGCAGGGGTAATTGTTACTCAAATGAAGGGGGGGGAGGAAGCGCCATCACCTTCCCCCAAAGCGAAGGGTAGTCTGGTAAAGGACTCCGGGGGGCGTTGCCCTGTCCGAAGCCTGTGGAGGTGTGGGCCTAAGGCACGCCCCCAAGCGGTGACACCCGGGGGTTCCTAGTTGGCGTACTTCAGCAGGACTCCCCCGGCTGGTGGTTAACCCTTCCCAGTCTCCATGCCGGGTAGTCGATAGGAACCAACGCCTAAGGCCAATACCTCTCAATTCCTGTGATCAATAAAGTTGTGGCCTTTTTTGCCCATTAACCTTAAATAATGTGTCCTGTGTCTTCATTTCACATGGGGGGAGGGGACTTGCCACGCAACACAGGAGCTCTAGTGACTTCAGAGGACATACTGAAACAAATGATTAGGGACGTCCATTTCTCCACAATTTAGGTAATGGAGAGTTGGATTTAGAGGGTGGTGCAGGGGGAAGTGAACTTTGGTTGGATAGCGCCCCTTGCATCATTTCCCCAGCCAGCAGTAAACCTCCTGAAGCTGGCTACACATTATGCTGGAAGAGGAGAGCATTAGAAGACAGGGAAGCATCCTCACGTTGCCTAAGAAACTGACCAACTCTTCCCTATACGACACTTCGGTCTGTGGTATAGAGCCTGGTACCAGAACACTGGGAAAAAGTATAGCACACTAATGGAAGGTTGGGACACTGGTTCAGTTGCCCAAAGAGCTGCGGGAAGTGGCCGGTCTCCCAGTGCTGACCTCTACAACACAAGCATCCTGGTAATGGGAGAAAGGTGAACTCAAAAGTTTCATTGAAAGGCGTCTGTGTGGTTACGTGCATGTCTGCAGCCAAAGCTGCAAAGTCTCCAGGTTAGTTTCAGCTGGGCCCTGTCTGTAAACCCATGTGACACACTTCTGTCACCATAGCTGTTGCTTACAATTATTTTTGTTCAGGAGCCATTTTTTTCTGGTTCCAAAATTTCCTTTCCTTTCCATTTGGGAAGGAAGTGTGAAGTATCTGCAAGGATGTAAATCAGTTACGAGCATCAGACACACCTAAGATTGGTCAATGCTGCTCTGTCAGCAGGACTTGATCATGACACAGCAAGTAGCTGGAATCGATTGCCAGTCGAAGGAAAAGCTTTGCAAATACGACCCAATCATTTATGCATTGTTAAGTGTTGTTGGCACCGATATATGCATTTGTATTTACATTTTTCTGTAATAAAGTCAAACCTCAGTTGTCGAATGTAATCCGTTCTGGAAGCCTGTTCGGCTTCTGAAATGTTCGACAACTGAGGCATGGCTTCCGATTCGTTGCAAGAGCTACTTTGGACATTCAGCTTCCAAAAAACATTTGAAAACCAGAGCATTTACTTCTGGGTTTTCGGTGTTTGGAAGCCTAAATGTTCCAAAACCTAGCCATTCGGGAGCCGAGGTTTGACTGTATAATTATTTTTTGTAGACATTGCTTGGCCGGCTGCTGAAAAAGCAACACAAAATTCAGGGCAAGGCAGAAAAACTGCTGTACTTCTGTGGTTTATTGTTTCTGAATCAGGTAGGTGCGCACTAAAATCTTGGCTAAACCAGATTTGTCCCCCCAAGTGAAAGAATGTTTGCATCCAGTGTGAGGTAGTGGATCTTTTGCCCTGTGGGAATGCCTGCCGTTTGCCTCCACTTACAGTATGTGCTGCCTGCATATTTGCAAAAAAAAAAGAAAAAGCAATTTTATAAAAAATGCCATAGGTTTCAAGTGCCCTGTCATCCAAAGGAAGCCAAAACCAAGTAATGATGCTGTTGGAACTTCTCACCAATAGGAACGGGTTAAAGAGTCAATCAAGGCCTGCAAAACATGTTACAGTGGTACCTCGTTTTACGGACGGGATCCGTTCTGGAGATCCATTCATAGCATGAAAAGCCCACAACTCGAAATGTCGCATCTGTGCAGGTGCATGGCATGATTTAGCGCTTCTGCTCATGTGTGAGCAGAGAAACCTGGAAGTAACCCATTCTGGTACTTCTGGGTTGCCATGGGAAGCAACCTGAAAAGACGCAACATGAAGCGGACTCAACACGAGGTATGACTGTACTAGTTTTTCTGCATAAGATGAATCTTCCAAGACTTTTGGACTCTCAAAGAGAAGAAAAGCAGCAGTTCGCAAGTGTTCCTCATGGCCACTGGGTGCTGTTGACCAGATAAGTGGCTATTTGGAAGCTTGCATTGAATGTATTGTTCAGAGTTTGACATGATCATAATCATTCATCTAAAAAGGTAACGGGACCCCTGACCATTAGATCCAGTTGTGATCGACTCTGGCGTTGTGGCGCTCATCTCGCTTTATTGGCCGAGGGAGCCGGCGTACAGCTTCTCGGTCATGTGGCCGGCATGACGAAGCCACTTCTGGCGAACCAGAGCAGTGCACAGAAATGCCGTTTACCTTCCTGACGGAGCGGTACCTATCTATCTACTTGCACTTTGACGAGCTTTTGAACTGCTAGGTTGGCAATAGCAGGGAGCGAGCAATGGGAGCTCACCCCATTGCGGGGATTCGAACCGCTGACCTTCTGATCGGCAAGTCCTAGGCTCTGTGGTTTAACCCACAGCGCCACCCGTGTCCCTAATCATTCATCTAGCCACGTTTAAAGAAATAAAAGGCAAACAAGGTGCTATCCTATTCATATGGATAAAAATTGTTTTTCTTTTTGTTATTGTTACGACTACTGCTACCCAGGGGCAGAGGAAGGGGAGTGCAGTGGGGGAGGGTCGCCCCAGGTGTCCCCACTGAGGGGGGTGTCAAAATGCCAGGCGGCACTCACCACGGGGCCTGCAGCGCCTCCGAGCCACGTGCCTCTCCTGGGTGGCATGGGCACGTGCGGTGGCTTGGGCACACGCAGGCTCCGTGTTGCCCAAATGGTCCGCCCGCTGCCTCCCCACCAGCTGTAGGGCAGCTGAGTTGGAGGAGGCAGGCAGACTCTGGAGACCCCGCAGTGCTCCCCGCCCCTATGGGTGGCTTGCCCTGCCCTCGCCCCACCCCTGGGCACTCTGCCCCAGGCGCCCAAGCAGCTTCCTCTGCTGCTGCTGCTACCACTGCTATTGCTTACATGAACATGAGTGGTGTCTTGCAAAGCTCATAAGCAGGCATAGGCAAACTCGGCCCTCCAGATGTTTTGGGACTACAACTCCCATCATCCCTAGCGAACAGGACCAGTGGTCAGGGATGATGGGAATTGTAGTCTCAAAACATCTGGAGGGCCGAGTTTACCTATGCCTGCTCATAAGCATGGCAGGTCCAATCCAAATGTCAACATGGGGAAGAAGAATCATAGAATCATAGAATCATAGAGTTGGAAGAGACCACAAGGGCCATCGAGTCCAACCCCCTGGCAAGCAGGAAACACTATCAGAGCACTCCTGACATATGGTTGTCAAGCCTCTGCTTAAAGACCTCCAAAGAAGGAGACTCCACCACACTCCTTGGCAGCAAATTCCACTGTTGAACAGCTCTTACTGTCAGGAAGTTCTTCCTAATGTTTAGGTGGAATCTTCTTTCTTGTAGTTTGGATCCATTGCTCCGTGTCCGCTTCTCTGGAGCAGCAGAAAACAACCTTTCTCCCTCCTCTATGTGACATCCTTTTATATATTTGAACATGGCTATCATATCACCCCTTAACCTCCTCTTCTCCAGGCTAAACATGCCCAGCTCCCTTAGCCGTTCCTCAAGAGATTTCTAGCTGCTTGGAGCAGCTGCTTGCTGGGGTCAAGAAAATGTTTTTAGCAAAAAAATATATCTGGAAATGGTAGCAGTTTATGCCACGCAACCAGTTGTGGAGAGAAAATGCTGGTTTTCCCATGTACCATCACAGGGCAGATTAGGCTGAAATAGCTCATGCTTGCTGCCCCAACCACACCTTTATTTGATGGTGGGTCAGTGGTGGGGTACATTCATTGCACAGGGGAAAGGTTTTAAATTCAGTCCATAGTTTATGCAGGTAGGGTCTGAGAAGACTCCTGTGTGGAAATCTGGACAGCTGATTTCAGTCCAACTAGGCAATACCGAACTAATTGGAAGATCAACTAGCACATAAGGCAACACCACCTGCTACCTCTTTCAGGTTCTGTCTAGATAATTGCATGCAATATCTAGATAACAGGCTATTGACTTCGGGCTGTAACTTCCTTATGAATCCTTTCCCAATTATCTAGGAAAATATTTTCACAATTATGCTAATATTCAACTGCAGCAAAAACAAAAGCAAAGCACCCACGCCATGCTGTGACACGTTCCTCTTTGCCCTATAAGTACAAGGACTACTCTAACATCTCTACATCCTGTCAACTCTTGAAACGCTATCTAATTTTTCAGCCATGAAGATCTTTGCTCTTTTCACAGCTGTTCTCTTCTTTGTGCTGATGGCTGCTCCAGGTAACAATATTTATTTATTTATTTATTTATTTAAAAATACAGTCAAATCTCGGTTGTCAAACACAATCCATTCTGGAAGACAATTCGATTTCCGAAATGTTTGACAACTGAGGCATGGCTTCTGATTGCAAGAGCTTCTTGCACTCAAGCAGAAGCCGCGTCGGACGTTCGGGTTCTGAAAAATGTTCAAAAACCAAAGCATTTACTTCTGTGTTTTTGGTGTCCGGGAGCCGAAACGATGAAAAACAGAGCCGTTCAAGAACTGAGGTTTGACCGTACAGTGGTACCTCGTTTTGAGTCCGGGTTCCGTTCCAGAGCCCTGGACGCTCAGGGAAAGGGACTCTCGACAATTATCCGCTCTGCGCACAAGCGTGAACAGTTTTGTGCTTTTGCGCATGCGTGAAGCGTGATTTAGCGCTTCTGATTCAGCGCTTCTGCATGTGTGCAAGTGGCAAACCCGGAAGTAACCCATTTTGGTACTTCCAGGTTTGCTGCGGATGTTCCACGAAATGCTCCAGTGCTCCAGCCACAGCCCCTTCCATTAAGTTGGCTACAGTCCTATTGCCACCCACCAGCTGAGTCTGCTATTAGCAGGAATGACAATGAGAACACAACTTGTTCTTTCTTTTGCTACAGCACTTGCGCAGACGTCAGAGGCAGAATGTCGCAGGATGGGTGGCAGCTGCCATAATGGCTTTTGCCCAATAGGCAAAATTCACAAGGGACATTGTGGTAACCCAAAAAGATGGTGCTGCAGAAGATAGGTAAGAATTCTAGATGTATCTCCTGCCCTGCTGTCAGGATTGTTTTGTCCTTTGGTTCTTTTTATCTAAACCAATTTGGAGAAGTCCCAGTCCAAGCCAAAACCCGGGCTGGCTTTTAAGACATATTAATGTATCTGGCTGGGACACGGGTGGCCCTGTGGTTTAAACCAGAAGACTAGGGCTTGCCAATCAGGTTGGCTGTTTGAATCTCCGCAACGGGGTGAGCTCCCGTTGCTCGGTCCCTGCTCCTGCCAACCTAGCAGTTCGAAAGCACGTCAAAGTGCAAGTAGATAAATAGGTACTGCTCCGGCAGGAAGGTAAACGGTGTTTCTGTGTGCTGCTCTGGTTCGCCAGAAGCTGCTTAGACATGCTGGCCACATGACCCGGAAGCTGTATGCTGGCTCCCTCGGCCAATAAAGTGAGATGAGCGCCGCAACCCCAGAGTCGGTCACGAGTGGACCTAACAGTCAGGGTCCTTTACCTTAATGCATCCGGCAGGAGAATAAGAATAGCATATTTGTATACAGAACACAATAAGTAGGAATACTGCTGGCCAGAGTGAAAAAATAGCTTGGCATGTTCTTGTGTCTGTTACACATGCCTGATCTGTAGAAGTTGCTGGGGCCAAGAAATGACTCACCCAGAACTTCTACATGCTTCTTCATAGGCTGTTAGGTTCCCACCTCAATTCCATCCATCCTGGAAGAGCCTATGAACTTGGCCCACTGTGTGCTGGTGATGCTTTCTAAAATGCTGAGCTGTACCATAGAGGCTGAGTCTGTCACCTGGGCAACTCTCTTCCTCTCCTGTTCTTCTGTTTATGATATGCAGGAAAGCAAAATGGTCCAAATCATTGTGAAATAGTTAATATAGAAATGGAGGTGCTTTCAAGACTTTTCCAAGGGATAGTTTCCCCTCCAAACCCCACTTCTGCCCCAGTATTTCTTCCAGGCCCTGCTATGGCTTAGCATTTGCAGTTGCTGATGCTTTCCTTAGGAAATACATGCTAACATCCAGCTTTTTTGAAAGAAATCCGGGCTACCTGAAGACTGGTCTTCTAGTTATGATCTGTAACAGAAGAGGAAGACAAAATGGTCTAGATCATTGTGACATAGTTAATATAGGAACTGAGGTGCTTTGGGGACTTTTCCAGGAGACAGTTCACATCTCCAAACCCCAGTTTTGTTCTAGTTTTTCTACCAAGTTCTGCTGTGGCTCAGAATTTGCAGTTGCTGATAGTTTCCTTAGGAATCGCATGCTAACATCGAGGGTTTTTCTGCAAAAAAACAACACAAAACCTAGGTTACATGAAGAATAGTGGAAATAAAACAATCAGAATGAATTGCTTTGGTGTTACTAAGCTTGACAAGAGCAGAGCCATAGGGAAGCTTTAAAAAATGCAATTGGCCTTCTAATATTGGCATCATGTATTATGTTAGGAGGAGAGTTGGGTTCAGATCACTGGTGTATTTCAAGTTACTCTGTATTTTTCTCTAATAAATTTTATTAAGATTCACAGAGAAAAATACAAAACTTAATATCCTTTCCCCCTTTTTTAACCACACCAAGACTATCTAAATACAGTAAAAACACAAAAAGGGGGAAGGAGAGACAAAGAAAGAAACAGAGGAGAAAAGAGGTTAAAAGAGAAAGGTAGAAAAAAATAAGATTCGGAAAAGAAGGAACTTCTGATTTTTCATCTGTCCACTATTAAAATATATGTATTCACTACATCCAATCCAATATACCACCCATCAAAGTTAAGTCAGTATTTTTAAGGGGCAAACAACAAATTATCATGCTCAGAACCTATTCAAGTCAGGAAAGGCCAATCTGTTTCTCCAGATGTTGCCAGCCTACAGATCTCCCTCACCCCTGATCCCTTGCCATACTGGCTGTTGGGGCCAATGGGAGGTGGGCTCCCACAACATCTGGCGAGCCACAGCATGATTTAAAGGACAAGCCCCATACCAATGTATTTCTCCTCTTTTTCTTTATATTAAAATCTGTGTTTGTGTTTTGCATCTGAATGTGTTCAGCTTTTTATTCATGATTATCTATGTAATACAGCATTAAAAACTGCAGAATCTGACAATGTTCTCTCTTTCGCACAGATAACGTCAGGATGTTGGCTGCGTTACATCTATAGCCTGAACATTTTCATGGCCTCTGCAACCCGCTTCGCTACGCTTTTGCGCTTTTAATGGAGCTGATTCTCTGGTGGTTGTTTTCCTTCTTCTGCTAATTAAAAATCATGCATTTGAGCACCTATGTTCTTTGTGTCTCTGTGTCTCTGTGCATTCCCACAGCTGAATAAGCGACTTTATTTCAAAGCGCCTTGGAGAAACTCTTCCACACAGATGTCCTGTTCACTTTTCAGGCAGAAAACACATCTGCTGTCCTGCTCACCCAATTTAAAAAGGCACAGGGTTTGCCCTTCTTTTTACCTGCCTTGCAGTGCAGACCCAGAAGTCTGTACATTGTACCATTTCTTCTGATTTATTAAAAAAAACCACATAAACATAAATATCTTTAAACTAAATTAAAATAAAGTAAAAAGGCATTTGAAGTGACTGTTCTGACATTATATTTTCAACCCCTTTCCCCCATCATCGACTTTACCATTTTTCAAAGTTATTGAAAACTGGGTTGAGTTCTCCAGAACCACTCCAAAGTCTCTATCTGGATTACAAGCAGGGAGCATATTCCCATCAGTATATATGTGAAATTGAGTGGAGGGGAAGTCACTCCTATTATTATTATTATTATTATTATTATTATTATTATTATTTTATTTATACCCCACCCATCCAGCTAGGTTTCCCCAGTCACTCTGGGCACCTTCCAACAGAATATTAAAAACACAATAAAACAAAACATTAAAAACGTCCCTAAACAAAGCTGCCTTCAGATGTCTTCTAAAAGTCAGATACTTGTTTATTTCCTTGACATCTGATGGAAGGGTGTTCCACAGAGCAGGCACAACTACCGAGAAGGCCCTCTGCCTGGTTCCCTGTACTTTCACTTCTTGCAGGGAGGGAACTGCCAGAAGACCCTCAAGTTGGACCTCAGTGTCCGGGCAGAACGAGGGGGGTGGAGACACTCCTTCAGGCATACTGGGCTGAGGCCATTTAGGGCTTTAAAGGTCAGCACCAACACTTTGAATTGTGCTTGGAAACATACCGGGAGCCAGTGTAGGTCTTTCAGCAACAGTGGGGCACCCAACAGGATGGTTGTGATGTGCCTCTGAATATCAGTAGCTGGGAATCATAGGGAATCAGAGTTCTGTTGAGCTCATGTCCAGCTTGCAGACTTCCCATGGGCACCTAGCTGACCACTGCGAGGACAGAATGCTAGACTAGGAGGGCCAATGGCCTGATCCTGCAGGCTTCCCTTATGAAACCGGATGAGGCTTTTCCAAGGGATAGTTTCCCCTCCAAACCCCAATTCTGCCCCAGTATTTCTTCCAGGCCCTGCTATGGCTTAGCATTTGCAGCTGTTGATGCTTTCCTTAGGAAACACATGCTAATATCCAGCTTTTTTGAAAGAAATCTGGGCTACCTGAATACTGGCAGAAATCAGAAATCAGAATGAATTGTTTTTGGTCATGCTAAGCTTAACAAGTGCAGAACCAGTGAGAAGCTAAAGCCTTTCAATCACTACCCCCCCATCAAAAAAATTTATTGGCCTTGACATAGTGTATTAAGTTTAGAGGAGGGGTCTATACAAATTTCAAGTTATTCTGTATCTTTAATGAGGAAACAACAAATTCTGCTGGTGAAAACGTATTCAAAGCAGAAGAGGCTGATCTGTGTTCTTCCAGATGTTGCCAGTTTCCAACTCTTCCATCACCCTTGTCCCCCTGCCATGCTGGCTGTTGGGGCCATCGGGAGGAAGAGTCTAACAACATCTGGCAGGCTAGAAGATCCCCATCTCATTTTAAGGATAAATAACGTATCAATATAGGGATGAGGGTGTTGCTGTGGGTTAAACCACAGAGCCTAGGGCTTGCTGATCAGAAGATCGGCGGTTCGAATCCCCGCGACGGGGTGAGATCCCATTGCCCAGTCCCTGCTTCTGCCAACCTAGCAGTTCGAAAGCATGTCAAAGTGCAAGTAGATAAATAGTTACCACTCCGGCGGGAAGGTAAACGGTGTTTCCATGCACTGCTCTGGTTCGCCAGAAGCGGCTTAGTCATGCTGGCCACATGACCTGGAAGCTGTACGCTGGCTCCCTCGGCCAATAAAGCGAGATGAATGCCGCAACCCCAGAGTCGGTCACGACTGGACCTAATGGTCAGGGGTCCCTTTACCTTTACCTTAATGTATCAATATATTTCCCCTCTTTCTCTTTGTATTTAAATATGTGTTTGTGTTTTTGAGATGTATGCGTTCAGCTTTTTAGTCCTGATTATCTATGTAATACAACATTAAAAACTGCAGAATCTGACAATGTTTTTTCTTTTTGGTGCAGATAACCTCAAGATGTTGTCTACTCACCATGGATTTAGGGTAGCTTGAACATTTGATGGTAATGCTCTTCTGATTTGCCTCCAGCTTTTAATGGAGCTGATTCTATGGTGATAGTTAAATAAAAATAATTAAAGACAATATATTTGAGCATCTATGTTTTTTGTGTGTCTGTGTATTGAAGAAGTAGATTGTCAAAGAGATCTTTTCGGGGTGCAGATGTAGAGAAATTCACACTTCTCTGAATATTGCAATGTGGTTTTCTTGCTGAGTTATGTCTACAAAAAATGCAGTTATTAGGGAAAATTGCACTGCAAGGATGTCTATATTAGACAAGATTACATACAGAAATCTGCATAGTGGGGAAAATGCGCATTTAAATGCTGATGGATTTTCATGAGGACGTTTAAGAAATGCAAAGCAGTTTGGAGAACTGATCTTAAGATAAGGAAAATGAGCAACTGAGGAAAACTGAAATTAATAGATGCAGGCTAATGACAATTGTGGTCTCAACCATTTTGAGGGTGTCACATTGCCTACTCCAATTGAAGGCACCAGCAGGTTGCCACCTTCCAAAAAAACAACCCCAAACATCTTTGTTGTTAGGAACAATACTTTAGCTTTATAGAAGCCTTTGCTAATTGCTCAGAGGATATACACAGAATCTCATAATACTGAAAAAAAAACCTTGCAGGGGAGGCTAAAAATTATAGCAACCACATCAGGCAGTTAAACCCTGGAACATAGATGGGTGTTGGGGATGTTTGAGACTAACAAATAATAGCTTTAGCCAGGTCAGTTCATGGCTTAACTGATATTTGGATTCAGGACAACCTACATATAATTCATGGCCGTAACCTCTATGTTACAAAATAGCCAATGCAGCTGGCTTCACAATTCGGGATTGGAAGAGGGCAAGGTGGGTTTGTTGACACCTTGTTGCCTCACAAGAAGGACTTTGCAACTAAACTGACAGTTGGCTCCATATACAGTGGTACCTCTGGTTACGAACTTAATTCGTTCCAGAGGTCCGTTCTTAACCTGAAACCATTCTTAACCTGAGGTACCACTTTAGCTAATGGGGCATCCCTCTGTCACCGCATGATTTCTGTTCTCACCCTGAGGTAAAGTTTTCAACCCGAGGTACTACCTCCGGGTTAGCGGAGTCTGTAACCCGAAGTGTTTGTAACCCAAGGTGTTTGTAACCCTAGGTACCACTGTATGCCCCAAGCTCAAACCAACTTGAGTTTTTAAAAAAGGAAACTCTTTTTAAAATGCTGGACATTTAAATGCTGGACATTTTTCAAAATCCCCCCCCGGCTCTCTTCTTCACCCCCCCATTTTCATTTCACTTTAAATTTTCACGCCGTCTTTCCGTACTGCGATACACAAGGCGATTCTCAAGTTGAAGAAACAACGAAACAGACAGCGAAGATCACACACCTGATAACGGTCTGATCGAATTCAAAGAAGTCATAATAAAAGCATAACTTTGAAATAAACAACTTATATCAAATAAAAGAATATTCAACAATCCATTAGAATGTAATAGTAAATAGACACTGCCCTCCTCCAGAGAAATATCCTGGCACAATGGCTCAGTCATAGCCTGAAGGGTTACAGGGTGTTGTTTTTCTTCAGCTTGATTTCCAAATATGCAAAGCAGTGCTCACTTTCCTGGCATATACTCCCGTGGTGAAATGATTATGATTTTGAAATAATCCCATCAAATGCATTCAAGGGCAGGTTGAACATTTCAATAGAGGGAGGAGAGAGACTCATGCTGCTTTCTCCTGCATGTATATCTTGTTTACCTGCCTGACAGAAGCAATATATAATGCCATAATCTTCTAATTAAAGCCCAAGCAGCTGCAGACATCTGTATGACTCACCTAACACTTCATCCTCAACATCGATTTCCACTTATAAGAATTAGGTCCCATGCCCTAACATAACTCAGACTATAGCTAAGCCTAGGGATGTGTGTATTTGCCAATTTCAGTTCTCTTAGTTGCATTTTAAGTTTGGTTTGCTGCATTTCTGCATATATTTGCCTTAAAAAAAAAATCTTCATGGAGATTTGTACAGTTTTGTGTTTCTTCTAACAGATGATTTTTTTGTACACATTTTTTTGCCTGGTATGCACATTCTCGCAAGCAATTTCCCCACCTTTAAAGCCCTATACGGCCTAGGACCCTCGTACCTACGGGATCGCCTCTCCTGGTATGTCCCACGGAGGACCTTACGGTCTTCAAACAAAAACATATTGGCGATCCCGGGCCACAGAGAAGTTAGACTGGCCTCAACCAGAGACAGGGCTTTTTCGGCTGTGGCTCTGATCTGGTGGAACGCTCTGCCACAAGAGATTAGGGCCCTGCAGGACTTGACATCTTTCCGCAGGGCCTGCAAGACAGAGCTGTTCCACCAGGCCTTTGGCCAGGGCACAGCCTGTCTCCCTCCTTTGGCAGTCTTCACAGAACTCTATCCCAATGGTTGCCATCAATTTGATTTGAAGTAATTTTTTAATGAAATGATTTTAGAATGTTGCATTATTTTATTGTTGTTAGCTGCCCTGAGCCCAGCTTCGGCTGGGGAGGGTGGGATATAAATATATTATTATTATTATTATTATTAGCGAATAATTCACTAATGTGTGAATAATGCACGTTTTTGTAGTCTACTTTTGCAGCAGACCATTTGGAGACCTGCTGTGATGAGCTCTTGAGACGCTTTGACGGGAATAAAGGCCTTTGACTTCATAAAAATCTCGATGC